TAGCTAGCACCACTGTAGCTCAGCTGGTAGCAACGCGTCACTTCCAGCGGTGGGTCAACTAGTAGAGGCTTATAAGAACGGAATTCGGGAATTTTTTAGATTTCAAAAATGCAGTTTAAGACCTTCCATTTTTGGTTAAAATATGTATTCTAATCAATCCAAATCACTAACCAGATAAGCTATCGATAGTATATCCGTGTCAAACTTTTTTTTTTCGTAATCTGACCATTCGCTTCATCCCTTTCAAATCAATCATCACTGAACTAAATACTCTTCTTCTTCTTCTTCTTTTCCTTATTCTTTGTTTTCTTTTTCTTCTTCTTCTTCTCAAGAAAACTGTCCCTTTTTCCATCGCTTCCTCCTCCCCCACTCAATGGACAGTGCGCAAATACACAGGACCCCCCTCTCTCCCCGATCCTTCTTCTTCCTCGATATTTTCTTCTCGAATCGATTCTTGTTTCGAAAATTTTCATTCACTCACTCTCACTCCACCTCTTTTGCTCTTTTATTTGTGCTCTCTTTCTCTTGACTCGTGTGTATGCCTCTCATACAGGTCGAATGTGGGGAAAACGACATATGGGAATGGGAGAATTGTGCATTTTGAGATTTTGAGGTTTTTAGGAAGATTCTGAAATTCTGAAATCCTACAGCTTCTAGATTTTTGAACCCCCGAATTTTGAGATCTTCGGATTCTTGGATCTTCGGATCCTCGAATTCTCTGATTCTTAAAATCCTTGAGCCCTTAGATTTTTGAATTTTAAAAACTTCAGTTTTTCATTTTCAAAGTTTAGTTTTGGACTCTGAAATGTTCGAATTTGAAATTTTTGATATTCGAATTCTGGATTAATTTTTGGTTTTTTGAATTCTAAAATTCTTGAATCTGAATTTTGAAAGGCTTGATTTTCAGAATTTTGAGGTTTCAGATTCTCAGAATCTCGAATTCTGGAGATTTCGGATCTTCGAACATTACTGATTTTCCTAATTCTAGAATTTCCAAATTTTTGAATCTTCTCATTTTTGGGATCTGTAGTTTTGGATTCCATTCCTTGAATATGGAAGTTCCAGATTTTTTCTCGAATTTCAGAACTTTGAAACTTTTGAATCTTTATATTTTTCATTTTCCTGGAATTCTGGAATTCTGAAACTTTTCTTGAATCATAAGATTTCTTCAAAATTCAACTTTTTCTCTTAATTTTATTTTTCCGCTATTTTTCTCAAGTATGTTTAACTTTTTAAAAAATTCAAATCTATTTTCTTTCAGATTCGTTCCACAATTCCAAAATATGAATCTTCTGGATTTTGGATGTTTCCGACCTTGGCAAAAATTTGAAAAATCGTTTTTCGTAGATTTTTTCTATTTTTCTATTTTTCGATTTTTGTCATCCAGGATTCTGAGATTCCGAAATTTTGAGTTTGTGAAATTCCAATATTTTGAATTTACTGAATTTCCTAGATTCTGAAGTTTGGGATTTCTAGGAATCCAAAAATTTGGGATTTCGAGATTCTGGATTATCTAGATTTTGAGATTCTCAACTTCCCAGATTCTGAGATTTTGAATTTCTGAAATTCTGGAAATGCAGGATTCCAAAATTCCTAGTTCCCTAGATTTCAAGATTCTGAGATACTCATATTCTGAAATTTCGAGACTCCAAGACTCTGAGATTTTGAAACTCTGAAATTCTAGAACCCTAAGGATCTAAGAATCTCAGAATTTCCTAATTCTCAAAATCCCAAAAATCCCAAATTTTCAAAATCTAAGAATTCAGAACTTAAAAACCGAATTCCGATAATTTTGAAAATCGGAATTCGGAATTCTTGAATTCTGAGATTCTAGAATTCTGAAATTTTGAGATTCTGAGATTCTGAAAATTCAAGATTTCGAGATTCTCAGGTTTTCAGATTCTCAGATTCTGGAAACCCTCAAAACCTAGCTTTTTCAAAATTTCAAAATTCTCAAAATCCCAAATTTTCAAGTTTCCTTTTTAAAAAGGTCCTTATTATTCCAAAACCCCTTCTCATTTCTATTCCCGAATCTTGTCTATTTTTCTATTCTTCTTCTCATTAATAAGTCCATTTTCATGTCATTCGTTTTTGACAACCCATTTCATCATCTTCTTCTTCTCCATTTCCCGATTTTTCCATGTTTTTCCTGTCATCCCAAATCACAATTTGAGCATTTTTACGTTTTCGGACTCATCATAATCCATCAAAAAGTAGTACATCTATTCCCCGGACCACGCCCCCATATTACCATAATCCTGGAGCATTCTAGGCTCATTTGGCTCTTTTTCTGTCATTGGAAATCACAAAAACGACTCGTCATCATTTATTTTCCTCTCTGTGCTCAGATAGAGAGAAAGTGAAACAATAAGCAAGTGCTGCTGTGCTCTTTTTCTTCTTTTTCCTTCTTCTTCTTCAAAGAATTGGACAAACAAAACTCCCTTTTTCTTCTTCACCTTTCTCCATCTTTATTCTTAGATTTTCGTCCCTATTTTAGACACTTTTTAGGGGTTACTGTAGTTTCAGCAAGTTTAGATTACTGTAGGCTACTTCAGAATTTCGAAAAAGCGCTACGTTGTAGATTACTGTAGTTTCTGAATTTCTAATTTCGTCTAGATTTCTCCTTTTTGGGTTACTGTAGTTTTGAGTTACAATTAAATCTATTTCTTTAGGAATACGTAGGTTTCTTCTTTGAAGTTCCAAAGGGTCAATTTTTGGGTTACGGTAGTTTCTGAATTTGAAAGTTTCATAGAAATTGATGCATCTAGTTTTTTTAGAAGATCTAGATAACCGTCACTTTAGCTTCGGATTACTGTGGACTTCTTCAAAGTTCCGAAAATTCCGTGCCTTTGCTTTTGCACTTTTTTTCGGGTTACTGTAGTAAATTGTTCCAGAAAGGCTAGATTACTGTAGTTTTTTTCTAAATTCCAAAAGATCAGTCACTTTAGTTTTGGATTACTATAGATCTCTCAAATTTGGAGATTTGCATACCTATTTTTGAATTTAGGATTACTGTAGATTTTTCAAAACTTCGAAACTAAAGCTTTTAGAAGAAAATTCAAAAACTGCAAAGCTACAGTAATCCAAAGTTTTCCAAGTATTAGCCATTTCAGATAAGTGTCATTACAGCTTTAGATTACTGTAGGTTTGTGAAGTTTAATGCCTTTCAGTTAGGAGTTTTGAGGATCACTGTGACTTTTCCCGTCTAGTTGTTAAAGGAAAATTAGGACAAAATTACTGAAAAAGTACAGTAACCCGACATTCCGAAGAGGCTACAGTAACCTAAAAACGTTTTTTATTTAAGTTGTTTTTTGCTGATTTAAATGTTATAATTTTCGATACGGTAGTTTTTATGAAAAGTCATTTGCACCTTGTTTGACCCAGTTATTCTTGGTTCCTGTAAAAGATATCAAAAAGTGAACAATCAATAAAATGTAGAACTTAAAATTTTACACATTTGGTCAATTGATTACTTTTTGGAATCTTTCACAGAAATTGAGATAAAAGAACTCAAAGTATGTAGGTGGGTGAGATTCACAGTCAGCTGCGCTTGCGATCCCCTATGCTTGCAGCCCAATTATCTCAGTTCTTATTAGATATATCAAAAAGTGATCAATTGATGAAATGCTTATCATATTATCATTAATATTTTGTTAGTTGACTACTTTTTGATATCTTTCACAGGGACCGAGATAAATTGGGTCCTTTTTAGGTCCCCCTGTTAATTTTTCTTTTTCTGCAAATGTGTGGGTTGTCAGGTAGAAGAAGAAAAGCACTTAAAATAAAAAAAACAGGGAGTGGTGGTGTCCCATAAAACAAAGAAATCATAAAACTGCACCCCCTCTCTCATTTTTCGAAACTTTGACACCTCCTCAGAGAAAGGGGGGACATTTATGAATGAATGTGTGTGCAGAGTACTGTGTTTTTTATTATCCAGAAGACATTTGGTTGGAGAAGAAGCACGTGAGGAGGAATACAGTAACCTGGAAGTTTTGTGAAAAACGAAATTTTGAAATTTCAGAATAAATCACAAATCTAGAAATCCCAAAAATAAAAAAAATTGGGGTTAGAAAATTTAAGAATCTTAAATTACAAGAATTGGAAAATCGAACTTTCAGAAATGATTCTGAAATTCTGAATTTCTGAAAAAATCCAAAAACAAAAGAATTCGGAAATTCTAAAAATTTTAAATTTTAGAAATCGAAAAATTCGAAAATCAGAAATTCCGAAAAATCTGAATTTCCAGAAATATCGTGAAAGTCAGAAAATTTAAGAATGTTAAAAATGCTAAAAATCCGATAGAATTTGAGAATTAAAAAAAAAAACAGGAAATCTAAAATTCCAGAAAAATTATTTCTGAAATTTGGGAATTTCTGGAAATTCCAATTTCCAATTTTTTCCATTCTACAAAAGTTTCGAAATTCAAATTTTCAAAAATTCTGGAATTTCAGAGAAATCCTAAAAATCTGAAATTCCAATTTTTTTTCGGAAAATCCCAAATTTTGAGTAATTCTAGCCAAAATTTTCAGAACTTTTTTTTTGAAAAATTTAAGAATCCAAAGAAAGGTGTAATCTATTTTTTCCATGCCTCTTCTTCCTCTTTTTTCTTTCTTCGATTCCTTTTTTCCTCTCAAGTCAATGTTGTATGAAATATGATTACATTTCAATCTTATTACCTTCCAAAAAAGCCCAAAAAAAAAAAGAAGTGCCCCCTTCTTTTTATTCCCTTTCTCTCCCTTATTCACACCTTCTTTTTTACTTTTTCAAAAGTTTCTTTTTTGGAATTTTTTTCTAAAAAATTCCAAACCTGTCGCTTGATTTTTAGCCTTATTTTAGTGCTTTTTTAACCTTTTTCTTCCGAATTTCTTCAATTTTTTTACTCTAAATTTCCTTGTTTTTCTCAAAAACTGTAAATTGTTTCCAGGTACCCCCTATACAAAAAAAAATAGTTCCCAATCAGCAATTTCCTCCCAAAATCTCCAAAAAATCCCCGAAAAAAAATGAATATGATGCATATGGGCGGTCCGATGAACGGTGGCGGGGGTCCGCCGCCCCCGCAGATGCTCCAAATGCACCATCCGATGCCCCATCATCACCACGTCGCAGTCTTCGCGTCGTCCGCACAAGCTCCGCCCCCACAGGCCACGCCCACACCGCCAGTAGCGTCGAGCATGAATCGATCACAAAGGTAAGTGTTAAAAAAGAGATAGGCTCCGCCCCCTTTCTTGGCCCCTGTCCCTTTAAATTTCCTAGATTAATAACGAGTGTTTTCTTGTTAAGTAGAGCTTCTTGTCCGCAATCCACTAGGGAAATGTCCTCGCATAGGTCGACGACATCGCGCAGGTGAGTATTTTTTATTCTTCTTTGAACTATTTTTTTTTCAATTTGCATTTTCATCTTGCACCCCCCATGTATCACCCTGCAAACCTACACACCTTCACAGAAAATTTACAGTTGTGAAAAACTTTTTTTTTTTTGAATTTTCGCCCCTCTAAAAGTCTAGGTCAAAATTATCCGATATTTTTGAAATTTTCAGAGTATACTAACCAAAAATAGAGCTTCATTTTTGGTTTATATTCTGTTGCTATTAGAGCTATCTAAACTTTGTATACTGATAAAATATTTGCCATAAAATGTTCATCATTTTGCTAGTTGCCAAAAAGGAACCTTTTTATTTGCGCTCATGAAAAACTCTCGCAAGTTTTCACCTGGATATGGTTGTGGTTGGAACATCATCCTCTGTTGCTGCTGGTGTTGCTGTTGTTGCTGATGGTGTTGTTCCACATTTTCAACGTCAGTTTTGATTTGATGAACTCCATTTGGTTGCTGAGGGACACCATTCT